AGACAAACTTCACAAGCAAATAATGAGTGGTTGCTAAAGGGCAATCCAGCAACTTGCAACTCAAAGTATTGGGGGTATAAATACATCAACACACACGCGAGTAAGGGTAAACTGATTTGGACACAGCCGGTGAAAGAAAGCACGCTACACATAAACCAATCAAAAGAGACAATACTTCTAATAGACATATAAGCTCCTGGATGAGAGGAGACATGAGGCATTCATACAAGGGTTGCGTCACAATACACAAGGTACAGGAAAAATCTGAAATATACACTGCCAGTGCAAAAAAAGGCCCCGTTAGGATTTGAATAAGCAAATACTCAAGAGCCTGTGACTGAGTCATTGCAGTGATGGATGTGGCAATAATTCTTTCAATCCTGACAGATTCAGTACATACAGTGCCTGACAAAAGTCTTGTCACATAAGGACATAGTAACTAAAAATAGCATATAACTTTATTTCTAACCAATCAATTGTTACAATAAATGGTCCATTTTAATGTCAAGGGCTTTCACATTAATAATTTGGTGCAAAATGAAACCGTCAAAAAGTGTTCTGATGTTCACAGCTTGGCTAAGCCCATAACATCTGTTTTTGCTAGGACAAAAGTCTTGTCGTCTCTTCAGATGATGCAACAAATCGCAGATTAGAGTTTAACCTATGACAAATACTGTAATTAACACATTCCCAGATGTGTATAGAAATAACCCCAGCAAACCAGACTTTCATATGAGGTGCGACTAGACCTCTGACAGCATACCAAAGATTCAACCACAGACCAAAGTGCTGATCATCAAGAGCCTGAAGACTGAGTCTGCTGCTGAGGTGGCAGGCATCTTTAATGTATCCAAATGTCAAGTGGAGGGGATGAGAAAAAGATTTGAAGACACTAGTAACGTTCATGGCAAGCGCAGGTCAGACAGACCCCGGTATGACAACTGTTTGAAAGGACCGTTTGTTGCTTCAGCTGTACAAGGCTAGCCCTTCTTCAACTACAGCCAAGCTACATGAGGAAATGTCACCAAAAATCCCAGTATCTACAAGAAGAGTTTGTCAAATTCTCTCTCAAAGTGGTTTTCATAGCCAAATTAGTACACAGAAGTCTGCATTAAACAGAAAACAAAAAACCTGCATTGCATTTGCCAAGGCCCACAGCTCGCAGAAAGGATTGATACTGGAAAAGTGGCTGAAAGTTTATTTTTCTGGTGAATCATCCATTGAACTGCATGCCAGTCGCCGTACAAGACCTGTGGGAACCCTTATGGACCCAAGATTCTCCCAGAAAACAATCATGTTTGGTGGAGGAAAAATCATGGTTTGTTGTTACATCCAGCATGGGGGTGTGAGAAAGATCTGCAGAGTGGATGGCAACATCAACAGCCTGAAATATCAAGAAGTTCTTGCTGCCCTACTTATACTGCTGCTCCTTCTTATTCTTCTGCCTCCATGTCATAGTTCCTGAAAGCGAAGAAGGTGAAGGTACTCCAGGATTGGCTAACCCAGTCACCTGACATGAACATTATTGAGCATTTCAGGGGTAAGATGAAGGAGGAGGCTTGGAAGATGAAACCATAGAATCTTGAAGAACTCTGGGAGTCCTACAAGACTGCTTTCTATGCCATTCCAGATGATTTCATCATCAAGTTATCTCAGTCATTGCCAAGACGTATGGATGCAGTCCTCCAAGCTCATGGGAGTCATACGCAATATTAATTCTTTTTTCCAAGGCACCATGGCTTTATGTTCTGATATTACAGTGGCATATTTGTGCATTCAAAATAAAGTGTATGTGTAATTTCCACATTTTTTTTTCAATGCGACAAGACTTTTGTCCAAGCAAAATCTGACCTTTCTGTACAAATTATAAAACTCAATCAATGACACAAAACTCTATTTTGGTATATTTCGCATAATCTAGAGGGCTTTGCCTTTCATATAAGCCATTTTTGATTCCAATTGATCAACTACAAGTCAGGTTATTATTTGTTGTTCCTACAACTTGGATAAGTGACAAGACTTTTGTCAGGCACCGTAGCTTCTCATTTCTTCAAAAAACCATGTCGGAAGACATATCACATGGTCATTGAAAAAATGTTTCTGTGTTTCAAGAGGGGCAAATTATTGGCCAGCATCAAGCAAAGAAAACTATTAAGGAAATTACTGAAATCACTGGGATTGGGTCAGGAACTGTCCAACAATTTGTTAGAACTTGGAAGAATATTGATAAACTGTCAACTTCAGGGAGGAAATGTGCTGGAGGAAAATCGTGATTGATCCTGATCCAAGATCACTAAAATGCTCTGTGAAGTCATATCATAAAAAAAAAAAATCAACAGTGGAACGCATGGCTATGTTTAATTATATATATATTAGAAAGAGTTTTTACATTTCATTTTATCCATCTCTAACTGAAAATTGTGTGTGTGTTGAACGTTTTGACTGTCAGAGTACCTGTGACCTCACACCATGGATGGATAATGGCAGATCTGTGATCCCACCTTTTTAGTTGAACTGTGAATTGAAACCTGGCTCAACCCATTGCTATGAGGATTTTTTAGTAAAGTTTGCTTGGAAAATAAGTTAGACTTGTCCCACATTGTTTAATAGAGGAAGTGTAAAAGATTTACAGTTTTGTTTTCTTAGCATTAATGTGTCAGGCGTCTCAAGATAAATGATACATCAAATAAGTCTGCTATTCCGGAACAATTATTCCCATTGGAGAACCCACACATCTGTTTCTCCTTAATTGTTACAAGTATTTACACAAACAACTTTTGCGATATCCTCAAGAAACTGAACTTTTTGCATGCTTGTCCAGGATCTCTGTTTCATATTACATCTCTCTGCATTGCAAGCTTCTAAGTGCTGGTTCTGACTCCAGCTGCGATGTTTGCAAAACAGAAATTTCTGTCATCTCCCTTTATCTGCTGGGCAGACACATGATACACCTACTGTCGTGGGTCACTAATTCAGAGCACAGGAGCCGCATGCAGATCACAGACAAGCCACTAGGGCAGGGCTGACCAAATTTGGCCCTCGGATCCAAATTCAGCCCTGATTTTATCTCCTTCTAAGCAATTAACTGAACACTTATTACCACTGATTGGCCAGATTGACATCACACCTGAATCCTAGGTAAAGGGAGGGTGGAAAACCAGGAGATCTTGGCCCTCAAGGACAGTGATTTTGGCAGCCCTGCGCTAGGGCATCTTTAGTAAATAGAAGATATGAGTTTCAATATAGACAAAAGAAGAGAATTCTCAGAAGACAGTCTAAGAGCAGACGGGAATGAATGGGTACATGGGAGGTCAGGCTTTTAAGGGGCGTGTCAAGTCGAATGGATCAGGACACGCAGGGCAGATGCACACTCTGACTTAGTGATGACGAAACGGGGAGAAGCATCACTTGCGAGAACTCAGACACTGGATGGGATTTCCCTAACAAATTGATACTTTGCACCCAGAGTTTAAACACTAAAGATGGAGGAAAACAGCCTAGCAGAGGGGAGACTAAAACAAGGAACTTAAACACACATCGATGACAATCAACAAGGAGGGAACACGCGTGCAGAGCATGGAGCGGAAACACAAGAGGAGGGGTGAAGAACTGGACAATAGTTGAATAATGAGAGACAATTTATAAACCAAAACAGGGAGACACTCAGGACATAACAGACTCCCCCGCCTCCCCAAGGGATGCCACCTGGCAGCCCTGTGGCGGACCTTGAGCCCATGAACTCTTGGACCCCAGGAGGGGGTCCCAGATATTCTGTTCTGGTACCCAGGACTACTCCTCAGGACCGTACTTCTCATAGTCAAGGAGAAACTGGCAACCCCACCTCCTGCACCGGACGCGGGGCCACTATCAATGAGCCGGGGGGAGATGGGGAGTGCAAAGGTGTGCTGAAACTGCAAGAACAGACTACTTTAACATGGGAGATATGGAAGACAGGATGGATGTGGCAAAGTAGAGGTGGAAAGACAAGTCTGACCGCCAAGGGCGATTAGACCTGGGAGATTGTGACGGGGTTGATGAACAGGGTATAAACCTTTAGGATTGCACTCTCAAGGGGTTGTCTCTGGTCACCCACCAGACCTTCTGCCCTGTTTGGGACTTGAGCGCCATGCTGCGTCAACAGTTGCCCTGGTTCGGGAAGGCTGGGACGCGTTTAAGTATATTCTCCACCCCTGTTGGGTGCGGTGCACCCGGAACTGAGCTGAAGGGACCTCCACTATCCTCTCTTTGGTTTGGAATGAGGCTAGGCCTTGTGGAGGTTGTGGTAGATAAGAGTGATCCCATTCAGTTCAGGCAACTCCTTGTGGCCAGGAAGAGCATGTGCTGTCAGGCTGGGGGCAGACCAAAGGCAGGACTTGACAGGATGGGCCCCATTCAATGATGGTGCCACCAGCCCAATTGATGCACGGATTATGTCTTTGGAGCCTGGGCTTTCCCAGCACAACAGGGTCATGAGGAGACTCCGTAAAGTTGAAGACAGCTGGCTCATGATGGTTGCTGGAGACGCATCTGGACCGGACTGGTGCTCTTCCAAGATGTCTGTTAGCGCCATACCCGTGAGGACTTGGGATGAGATGGGCACTGGGAAGGCAGTGGAATCCACCCCCAACCACTTAGCGAGGGTTAGACGTAGGAAATCACCATCTGCCCCAGAATCCATGAGTGCCCTAAGAGGTGACTGACAGCCTGGCTTGAAAAGTTGAACAAAAAAAAGAGGAGAGGAAGAAGAGACTGAGGCCCTGCTGAGCACCGCTCCCTCATGGACTGGTTGAGATTGGCAGACGGTAATGAGGGGGTTGGCGCCACCTGAATACAGGCAGATGCCCAAATTGGTACGTCACTGTCACTCTGCAGGGTTGAAATGAAATAGTCTGGCATGATCTGCTGGCATGGGCTCCAAAGGTGGTAATAGGGGAGCAGGGCTAGTGGATGAATGGCTGATCCTGATGGAGGAATAGATAGATGCAAACTCCACGCAGAATAGCCCCAGGCTGGATTCAAACCCACAACCTTCTTACTGTGAGGTGGCAGCGCTAACCACTACACCACCGAGCCGCCCTAGGGAGGACTCAAGGCTGAGCTTGTCAATTCACCCATTTCTATTGAAGGCATGTATTAACCCAGAGAGGAAGTTCTATCAGCCCACTGAGGTCAAGAGGTAAGAAACACGTGGTCAGCTGATCTTGGATCTTGTCAGACAGACTACAGAGAAAGGTGTCTTAGAGGGACAGGGGAGGCTGCCAGACGCATCATAGAGGGACCTTCCTGAAGTCTGCCAGAACTTGATGGAGTAATTGAAAACTGACTGGTTTCCAGGGTGGACCAGGAGGAGGCAGACAAAAGCAGGGAAGGCATGCACAGCAGGACTCCAGCCTCAAAGCATATGGCAGCTCAGCCACAGGCACACTCAGTCATGCTGGTGATGGGAAATGTAACTCTGGATTGCTCTGTGGGAAAGAACGGTTGGAGGTCGAGCACCATGGAAAAATGCGACAGCAACCTATGGGAGGAGAATGGGTTGCCGTTGTACTGCTCTGACAACTTGAGGCTGGGCACCCAGTGTCTGTAAGACTGGGTTTGAGCTTGAAGTTGGTGTGAACTGGGAGCCTGAGCAGCAGTGGTGGAGTCCAAGGAAATCTAGTGTGTATGCTACAAGCCATAACGATAATTGGGATCAAAAATGGGACTCCATGGTGGTGGGGATATTGATGACTATATCTTCTTGTTCTGTGTTCTCATATATAAATTTAATTGCTTAATGAAAATACTAGTGCAGTGCCCCTTCAAAATGTGTCTGTTGGGAATGGGACAATTGTTTAGCCTCTGGTATTGCTGCTTGCAGCTGTCCAGCTTTCTCCGAGAATTGCTCAGCCAAACAATTCCACACTCGATGCTGCTCTTACTTGGGTCCTCAGCAATACACCAGACAAATTCAATGCCGATCGGATATACAGTTGTGGAAAATCGAGGGACAGACAGACATTTTAGGTACATACAATGGAGTGACTGCCTCAGAGTTACAAAAAAAAATAAAAGTAGGCAAAGTTGACTGATTATCACTGTGTAATGTCACCTTGTCTTTAATCACGCTCATTAAGCGTTAAGGTGCTCAAGATGCAGTAGGTCAAATCTAGCAAGTGGAATTGTCCCACATTCCCCCATTACACAGGTCTTCAGGTACACAACTACACATGGCCTTCATTGCCATGTATTGTGTTTCATAATGTGCCAAACATTTTTAGTCAGGGACAGATCAGGACATTCAAGCAACTGCGCTCTCTGTCTACGCAGCCAAGGACTTGTAATCCATGGAGAATGTGGGTTGGCTTTGTCTTTCTGGAAAATGCAGGGACGTCCATGGAACAAATGATGTCTAGAAGGCAAATATCCAAAATATGTGCTTATCTCTCTGCCCTTAATGGTGGCCTTGCAAATGTGCAATTCACACTTGCTATACTCACTGACAAACCCCCATAACATAACAGAAGTTGGCTTTTGGACCCCACACTGATAAAAGCTTGGGTTTTTTTGTTGTCTGTATTTTCCCAAAAACCACTCAAAATGTTGGGCCCGTGTCGGCACCACTTTTGGACACAGACTCCACTTCAATCCCATGATACCTAGCGTGTTCGTCATCAAACAATGGGCTCATTTGAATTCCGAGCCGCTGTTTTAGATCACATCACTGACAGACAGTGCTCTGATAGGCCAGAAATTGGTTTAATTCCATTCAGGGTTGATTGCCTATCCTGCCTCTATTAGCCCGGATGTTGCTATCTGAAAATATTAACTTAAATTTTACCATCCGAATTTGACCAATTGAATTTGAGCCACCAATTTTTTTTTTGGAAATACTAAAGCGTGAATATTTGACAACACTGAAGAAGAAACATCGAATTTCAGCTTTACAAACTGAATGTAAAACAATTCATATTTTAATTTCAGAGATCCATTCAAAGCAAATAAATTGAGATAGATGGTTTTCAGAGTAAAGTATTTCAATGCTATGAATTTAGTGGTGTTTATATTGCAATATTAAGAATTCAATTGCTGTTAAATTTCAAATACTTATGTCACTTATTTGCTTCCAAAGTAAATCATGTTGGCTTGCCACAGAAAAATGTTAACTTACCATACATCTGTGAATGCAATGGTGTTGATTTACTTGACTGACAAAGGTTTGTCCAAGTATTTACAAGGCCATGTCGTAATATCCATCACTGTCGCATGATAATTCTTAAGATAATGATGTATGAGGGATCGGAGATTTAAGATCAGAAATGCCGTAACATACACTGGCTTTCACGCTTTGCCTCAATCCATCTAAGTCACGCTCGAATTCGCAGAAGTCAGCAGTGTTTCTGGATGTTATCAGTGCTGGATTTGGTTTAGCCCTGTATAATCGTAACTTGTATATGCAGATGCAGTGACAAACAATAATAATCCAAGGTATTCACAAGCCCATGTAGTAAAAGAAATTACAGAAGCCTTTCAGTTTTTATGGCAGTGCCATCTGAGGGCTCAAAAATCAAGGGCACTCAATGCACTTTTTTCTGAATATTATTATCATATAATCGATTGTAGATGGCGAAATCACTTAATTCCTAGAGAGAAGAGGAGTTATACTTTTCTCAAACTTGTGGGTTAATTTGTCCTCGGCATTGGACCCATCCTAGTTACTTAGGGGCAGTGGGAAGCCACTCCAGTTCTGCAGCTAGAGCCTCAGTCTGCGGCAGTGGAAGAAGTGTACCTATAAGGAATGTTTTTCAGGGTGGGGGAAACCAGAATATAGGGAAGAAATCCATGCAAACATGAAGAGAACATGCAAAATCCAGGTAGAGAGGTCCTGCCCAACCAGGACTTGATCCCGGAACCGCTTTATTGAGAGGCAGCAGCGCTAACCACTTAATAGTGATGTCAGTGTCGGCATGCCACCCTAATCGTACTTTGAGAAATGTTCTGAAGGTGATGTCATTTTTGCTTACATCATCCAAATTGGTTAACCTTATACTACTCTTGCTCCATAAAAATCCTTTCATGGATGTTACAGCCATTCATAATAGCTTCACCTGTTACCTATCAACCTGGTTTCCTGTGAATTGCTCAAAACAGGTGTTTTTAAACACTTCTCAACATTCTCAGTATTAGATTTCCCCTATCCTATCTTTTTTTTTTTTTAGAATGAGCTGCAGGGATTAGAATTGGACTTATCAAATTTATTCATCTTTGTAAATACAGTTGTGTGGAGTGACGATTATACACCACCACTTTCATTTGAAAGGGGTCCTAATATATTACTTTTTTTTTTTTTGGTGAAAATGTATTGAGAAATACAATTGTAAGCAGCGAGAACAAAAAAATCATTCCCACAAGTATACTGAGGTAAAAAAAACGGGCAATGAACAAAAACACTGAGAAAATAATTTTTTTATAAATATATTATATTTATTTTTATTTTAAGGAGTCGCAAATTTTATTTTTTTGACTCTAGCATAGTATGAATGTGAGTTTGAAGGTTCCTTCCATGATTATTGATGCTAAAAAATTTGCTTAAACTGATCTGAGGTAACATTATTCTGCAAAATTACCTCTGATGGTCAGTTGCTCCAGTATATAAGGTGACATGAACTTTGAGACGTGTCACAGTGTTGAACACAATGGCACGATGGAGGGAGCTCTGAGATTGTTTGTTGCCAAATTTTGGCCAAACATGATGCTGGCTGGTCACTTAGAAAAATTTCTGAACATGTTAAATGCTGCCATGACACTGTAAGAGACTGGTTTGCTGAAAACTAGTGGCAATAGAGGAGCATCACGGAAATGTGTATGAAAAGTAAAAAAAAAAAAAAAAAAAAATCGGCAGTTGACAACACGACAACTCCGCGAAGATATCAATTGTGCCAGAAGTGAAGAGATGAAAGTACCAAGATACTATTTCCAGACACCGTGTGAAAATGGTCTGATTGGTCGTGTTGCTGCCAACTGCTGGCAACATCAAAAAAAGACTTGAGTTTGGCAAGAAATTCAAGGATTGGACACTAGTGGACTGGGAACAATTCTTTTGCACGGATGAATCCAAATTCAAAAATTTCTCATCCAAACACAGAACTTGTGCATGCCGTAAAGTTGGAGAACATTTCCAAAATGGCTGTTTAACCCCTTAAGTAAAACATGAAGGTGGTAATATTATGGTTTGGGGTTCAGTCTGCTCGAAAGGAGCTGGTGATTGCATAAAAATCAATGGAATCAGGGATCACAGCATCCTTGTGAGGCACGCATTGCCATCTGGAAAAAGAGTGATTGGTCAGGGATTTTATTTTCAACAAGATAATCACCCTAAACACGCTACTAAGTTGTATTGGAATTATCTCAGTCGGAAAGAATCATCTGGTGACATTTAAGTAATGACTTGGCCTGCAACAAGTCAAGACCTTAATCTGACTCTGGGATCTGGGATTTCCTTGACACCAAGATTAACAAATCTGTTCTAACATTGAAAAAGTCTCTTAGGAATGAACTTCAAACCATCTGAAATGGTTTAGTGAGTGAGGAAATCAAAAAATATGTGATAGCTATGCCTGAAAAATTAAATGTGTAGTCACTCGATATTTACTTTTTCTCTCAAAAAAACATTATTTTTTGTTATTACTATATACTGTTTTCTGTTTACTTATTTTCATCTATATGATCCAATATTACATTAAATAAATACTTGAACAGAACTTGGTTTCTGATTCATCTTCATTTTGTTAAGTATATAATCATCACTGCACACTACTCTACATGCAATAACAAAACCTTCAAAATAATTTATTTGTATCTTTTCAATGAATACAGGTGAAATACAATTTTAAAATTACAGCATTGTTTTTATTAGCATATTCCATGCTGTCACACCTTTTTTTATTGGGGGTTGCATAAACCTACTGTATTTGTCTGGGAAAAAATGCTCAGCATAATTGCTCACATGTTAATGAATCCCATTTGTTTTCGTTGTTTCATTCATGGTGAAAGTTGACATTGATTTACAAAATTCCCCGGGAGCTGCATAGTTA